CCACTTGGTTGTTCCAGCATATCTTCGAAATTCCGTAGCATTCTTCAATGCCGATCCTGTCTGTTTGAGGTTGAAGATCTTCTCTTCCGCTACCTCTAACTCATTGGAGTTTCCGAAGATCCTACGGATTTCTGTCTTGAATCCTTCGAAACTGTCGAAGATGGTTCTTGTGGGTTGCATGCGTTCCCTGTCGTCATGCTCGAAATAGTCGCGCAGGTATGGCTGAATCCATTTGCCTGCCTCGCCTCTGAGGTATGACACGGCCCAAATACTCTTAGATTCCTTTTCGGTGAACTTGTCTTGGTTGAATCTAAAATAGATTTCGAGTTGTAATAGGAAGGTGTCGAGTTCCTGTCGACTTCCTTGGTACTTGTCTGGTAAGGCAATCTTGAGTGTTTCGTTGATGGTGATCTCCTTGGGAGCATCAGTCATTTCGACATCGTCGAAGTTGCTTGCTGGGGCCTGTTGGCTTCTGGAAGAACTGTTGGCTGCCATACTGGCGGTTGGTATTGAATCGGTACTTGAAGCAGAAAGGGTGCTCAAAGTGTTACGGGAGCTGCCTCTAGGGTCACGTGGAAGTGTCTAGAGATCTCTCGAGGTGGTTTAGACTAGACTTCAAGTAGGAATTCAATAAGGTTGTAACTGGTTGCAATTCTCGTAACTATAGTAATGAAACTAATGATTGTTCTTGAGCACGAAGCTCTATATTGTAATGAAATCCCATTCCCTTATATAGACCTTCGTTCTCTGTTGTCCCACTGCTTCCCACTGTGTCCCACTGGGCCTTACTCAGTGGGACTCAGTGGGACACCTTGGTCAGGTGATATCTTAATCAATCTAGTCATGTGACGACCTCGGTCGTAACAGTTTCTTTTGATTTTAAATATTTTGATATAAATTAAGTAGATAGAATTATATTTAATAGAAAGCATTTTTGTATTAAATATATTTGTTTTTTTTATATAATTGAATTCTTTTAGTAAAAAAAAGCTCAAGTGTTTTAATATGAAGTAGGATTGAGGTACGATTGGTTTTGTTTAAAGGGATGTTAAAAGTATTAAAGATATTAAGATTATTAATATTTATTAGATTATAGTTTTAAGAATAAAATAGATTCTATAATAAATATAAAGCTTTAGATTTATTAGAATGAAATAATATAAGGAATTTATTTGTTATATATATAGTTAATTATTATATAATCTAAATAAAATCGAAATATAAATAGGATAATAAAAGTTGTTGAGAAAAATAATTTCTAAAAATAATATTAAGTTTATTATAAAAGATTAAGATTTTATTTAAATTGAGTTAATTCTAGTCTTTTGCTTTATAAAAAGTTCTTTTAACTTTTATAATATAGCTATATAAAAAATTGATTCTTTGTTTAAGATTAAATAGTTTATTTTCAGCTTTCTATATTTTATTTGGATTATTATAAACATATATAAGTTGATTTAGGATTGTTATATAATTTAAGGGAATATTTTAATTAAAAAAAGAAAACTAAAATAATATTATAATTTGTATATAAGATTTGAGATTGAAATAAATATAATAGAATTGAATAATAGAATTGCTAATTATAATATCATCTATTTATAGTTTTGTTTGAATTAAGAATAATTATATATCAAATTTCTAAAAGCTATTATTGAACTTTTTGAGATTAAGAAGAAAGGATTTTAATCGAGAAGGTGTTTGAGTAATAAGAATGTATTTGAGGATTAGAGAATGTAGGAATAAGATTTCATTTTGTTAATGAGTTATTTTGTTATGTTACGACGGGTAACATTGGGTCACGTGACGAGTGTCATGTGACAGGACGTTGGAGCCTTTGGAGCTTAGGATCCAAGGGATCCAAGTAGAACAGAACCATGGGTTTCGTAGAGCAGGAAGGTCTATATAAAGGAATGAGTTTCATTATAATGTAGAGCTTCGTGCTCAAGATCAATCATTAGTTTCATACTATAGTTACGAGAATTGCAACCAGTTACAACCTTATTGAATTCCTACTTGAAGTCTAGTCTAAACCACCTCGAGAGATCTCTAGCCACTTCCACGTGACCCTAGAGGCAGCTCCCGTAACATGTTATAAAGTTTTATAATTATAAGGTTTATTGAATTGTAATTTATAATTAAGAAATTAAGGATAAGAAAAGAAATAATATTTTTGAATAATATTAAAAAGATTTATATATAAATAAGAGAATAGAAATAATATATTTAAATAAAAGTAAGTAAAGTATATATAAAAGCTTTATTTATAAATATATACTAATATTATTCTATTTCTTATTTAAAAAAGCTTTTAATAATATAACGAATTTAATAAATATTTAAAAATCAATCTTAGAATTAAAAGTTATAGAATTAAAGAAAATGTACTATAAAGCTATATATACGATTGGCTCGGAGCTTAGTGTTACGGAGGTACCCGCACCGCAACATGGATTATAAGATAAACCTAAGGCCTTGGTATTGGGACTTACGGAAACAGCGCTGTAGGGACAATCGGCTAGAGAGTACAGATTAGATAAGCGGTAGCATCATTACTAGTCACAAGATGGACATCACGTGATTAGGAAACCGACTTATCGAAATCAGCTTTACGGTAATCGATTTGTCGATCGACTTTAATACGAAGGTCTATATAAGGGAATGGGTTTCATTATAATATAAAGCTTCATGCTTAAGAACAATTATTAGTTTTATTACTATAATTACAAGAATTGTAATTAATTATAATCTTATTGAATTCCTACTTGAAATTTAGTTTAAACCACCTCGAGAGATCTCTAGACACTTCCACATGACCCTAAAGGCAGCTCCCGTGACACTTAGTATTATACTAGCTTGATTGGATGTGATCATGTGTATACTATGACAAAATTTATTTCATTAAAATTATAGGAATCTTTATCTAAAATATTATATTTCACTTATATATTTATAACTAATTGAAATTATTCTTTAATAAGCTTAGAATCTTCACAAAAAGCTTTTTAAAAGTTATAAATATAATTAAAACATATCTTTAATTCAATTCAACATTTTACAAATTGATATATCTAAAACTTTTCAATATTCTTTATACTCTTTAATTTGAGAATATGATTTGCTATATCTTCTATATTTCTAAATTTAAATAAAAACTCTTTGAATTTATATTAAATATATATTTAATAATAATATCTTTTTTTTAGCTTTAAAAGATTATGAAATTTATATTAATATTTTATATAAAGAAATAAAACTATTAATTCTATATTATAATATTATATATAGAATATTATATATATTAGCGATCTTTTAAATACTTTGTTTTTTATCTTTCTGAATAGCTTTAATAATAAGAAGTATACAGACTTCTTAATTATTCGAATTTATAATAAATTGTTGATAAAATATATATTGAAAGAGAAAAGTATAAATTGAGATGAAAATAGGCTATATGCTGATATAGATCACATACTGATAAACTACGTTAATCGAAATCCTTACATTCTTCCATTTTTATTCACATGTTCAACAATCTGAACTCTCTACCTCATCTGAATCCCTTTCATACATTCAAGCTTTACACATTCACTTAAACTCTTTAATTCCTATTCTCACTTACTCTTCACTATCCATTTTCATCTAAATATTACAGTATAGATTTGCTATACCCTTCTTTACCCTTTCTTATCCTCTCAAGTTATTTCCACTCAAATTCTATCTTGCATTCTCATTCGCACTCGAGATCCAATCATCCCGACCCAAAACTCATCCCATAGCATCATAAATATTCTTCGTTATCCCCTACCTCTCCTATCTCTTTTACATTCCAGATTCCACTATCGACGCCTCACCTTCTAAACTCCCTAGTTCCTCATTTCTTATTCCTATATCCCAAATTAGAAAATAAGAAAATGGATTCTCACACACATGTATACTCACTCACGCAAACCGATGCTTAAAACTTCATTTTACAATTTTATTAAACAACAAGTTCTTAAATCTTGAAGGTTAGGTCTAGAATAACAACAATAATATTAGTATTCTAATAGTAATGAAAGACTCAGTGTCTTTAAGCTTTCGGGATAAATCGAATATATAATATAGTAGTCGAATTGAAGTCGAATTATAAGAAAGAGCTGAAATAATCTAAATATGCTTGGTTTTTTCTAGATTTTCTTTAAAGAAGATTCTAGGTTTATATAGTTTATAAGGAATCTCTAATAGCTTATAAATAAGATCGATTTAAATCGAGTCTTATAAAATCATTTCTATCATATATAAAAAAGTATAACTAATCAATTTAGTTCTTTTATTAACAATCTTTTATATGATGATATCTCATTCTATTCCATTATAAATCAGTTTGATGAGAAAATATAATAATTTAATAATATAATTTAATAATATAAACCCATATTATACATATATTAGTTTATCTATATATCTCTTAATTAATAAGATATTAATAAGTGATTTAGTATACTTATCATAGAATCTCATATTAAGTATTAAGTATTATCAAACCTCAAATATTATTAATTACCTATCTCATCTCTACTTATCAACTCTATTCTTCTTTATTACCTCTACCCACCTCTATTTATCTACTCTACTCTCCTTTCTCATTTCTTCTTTCTCATCTCTCCATCATCTCCTCTCCACCATCATCTAATCTCCATCCATCCTCTCCATCCACCACCTCACCTCTACACTCCCAAGACAAAAATGCTACAAGTACCCGCGTACCCGAGTACTCAAATTTTAAGTACCTACCCCCCCTAATCCCTTTCACAAAACCGACGCACAAAACAAATATAAATCAATCCATTGTAAATTCCCAAAATCAGAGGTGGAATAAACATACATCGTTCTTTATTCTTTGAATGTATAAACTAATAATAAAATAGGAAGATTGTTCCACTGTCGATGAATAGATAGATATACAAATAAATAAATAAATAAAGTAATGGCGATAAAAACCAGTATTAATATCAATACCAAGATGTATATATACATCCAGAAACCCCCTTTTCCCCATCGCCCTCCCACCCAAAAGAAGAAAATAAAAATAAGTATACCCACATCCCTTTTCCTTTCAAACCTCGCTACTCTTCTCCCTTAACCACCTCTCCCTACAAAGCAACCAGAACCAGTACATGTTTCTATGACCGACCATACTGACAATGACCCGTGGTTGGCATGTACCTACCTAAGGTCATTCCCTTCTGTCTCTCCTCAATCCCAACGATTTACATGTCACACACCCCGCTCCCAACCAACGGTGCTCTTGGGTAAAAAATCTTCGGCGCACCTCCCACGATCTTCACTGGCAAGTTTCCACTTCTATCCGTCGTATACGATACACAAGTTAAGATTTCTGTTACTTGTGATTTTGCGGTGAATCCGGTTTGGGATGTTGTGAGGGTGAGGTTTGATGCTTTTCCAGGTTAGTGAGGGGCTTCGGTTTGGTGATTTAGGGGGGAGAGATGAAATTGAATTCGAAATTGGATATTCTTGGTGAATATGGAGCCCAAGGAAGTGATGTGAAGAACAAACTGTGGAATGGAATGTGACTGCACATAAAACAATACTAAGATGAAAAGAAAAACAACATACCACTACCCGTCGCCCCCAAATTACTGAACACCGCAATAATTTGTTTTCCCATAAATCCCTTTCTCATCACAATCATATGCGAATCGCTGTAAACCGGATAGGCTTGATGTGTGAGATAAGTTGGATCTACATCGATTGCCTGCTTTCGGATTTGGTTTACCGAGGCGATGACTATAGTTTGTTGTTAGTGGTGTTAATGGGGTTTTTTGGTGGAATGATGAAGTTCGAAGGGCAGGAGGGGGCAGGAGAAGATGGATTTGGGTGGATAAGGGATGACTGAAGGAAACTCACGCTTATAGTATACCCCTGTTTCAGAATACGAATTTGAGTTTAGCCAAAGGGCTTCACGATTATTGGGCACGCCGTTTCCGGATAAATGTTGTTCTTGGCCTTGATATACTATATAAAAAATCCCACGATTAGTTTTTTGCCCAAGATTTCAAGTTCAAAGATCCTCATTTCCCGTGAAGAAAACGGGAACAATATGATGGTACTTACTAATCGGAATCCCATCCGCCAAAATCGTAAAAGCAATCGCATTTTTCGCAAGCGCCGCATCGGAGGTCAAAGAGGCAAAACGAGCTACGTCGTGATTTTCGATAAAGGAACCTAGGAGGGTAGTATCGGAACAGGTGGATTTCATGGTGTTGATTCCGTTTGCTAGGGTGGTGATGTTGCCGGTGGTGGATTGGAAGGCTTGGGTTATCCAGTAGTAGCTGAGGGGGTTGCGTTAGTGGTGTTTTATGAGGGGTTGACAGAGAGGAAAAGAGAGGAAAAGAGATGAAGGAAGGAAGGGGAAATCGAAAAGAAAATATCGTGAGACTTACGCAGGATAATTAAGGACTCCATTCATATAATTCTGATACGGACATACATATGTCGGATCACCATTATAGATTTCTCCAACAACATATACACCCGCTATATTCCTATTAGCTTCTTTCTTTCCTCTTTCTACCCCAATCCTCTTCCATTTGAACACCAAAAAAAACTCACCAGCACTTTGAAAGCTCGGAATAAACCCCACTCCTGTCTGCTGCGCACTATCAAGTCTCAACCCATCAATCGAATAATTTGCGACCAACTCTCCAATCCACGAGTTCCACTCTGCCTGTACATTTGCATCTTCGGTGCGTAAATCTGGGAGTGAGACGATGTTGTCACCTTCCCAGCAGACTTTGATTGAAGTGAGGTTGTTATAGTCTATGGGACAGGGGGAATGGTAGTATGATTTCTGTTGGTGTTAGATTTGGAGAGCGGAGAGAGATTGTAGAAGCCTTCGGGGGATAACTGGAAGGGTGAGGAAATAGGTTCAAGGTAAAATGAAAAAAGAACTCACAGAATTAAAAGGCGTGTAAATACTATAATTCACACTCGATCCACTACCCATATACCCCATGTGATTTGTCACAACATCAACCATTAAATACATACCTCTAGCATGTAACTATTTCGTGAATTATCAGCACTATAATTACTCCTCACTCTCGACAGATATTAGAGAATACTCACAGCAGCAGACAATGCTTTCAGATCTGCCGAAGTACCAAAATTGGGGTTTACTTGGTAAATATTTTGAGCCCAGTAACCATGGTAACCTGAACCGTCCTAATTCTTTGTTAACATATTTTCTCCCGTAAAGATGAATTTAGAAGGCGATTCCAATATCCATTGGAACCTCTTCATTTCAAGATGGGAACAGAAAAAAAGTGATTATAACATACCACACTATCTCCCTTAATATTTTGCACAATTGGGGAAATCCAAATCTATCAAAATAGTATCAGCATCTTTCCATTTGATTCAAGTTCCTCATTCTCCATCCCCTTCCCCTCCCCTCCTTTCCTCCCCTCATCCCCCATACTCCCGCACCAATTTCTTTTCTCAACAAAAAAAAAAAAAAAAAAAAAAAAAAAAAAAAAAAAAAAACTCACAGCCGTAAACCCCATCCCCTGAATATAATCCAGCTTCTCCACAATCCCCTTCCAACTACCCCCACAATACTTATTCACATTACACGCTGCGGTTGTCGAGCCATCCGTACGTGCAAAGCGATCCGTGACGACTTGGTAGATAGATTGCGCGCGCCAGTCTGCGGCGGAGAGGGCGGTGATGGGAGAGAGATTGAGGGAGAGGAGGAAGAGGGAGAGGAGTTTCATTTTGAGATAAGAGGGTAGTGTAATGTAGTGAATGGAAGTGTAGTGATGAAGAGATGGGATGAGCGAGCTTGATATAAAAACCTCTCTCTCGGTTCCAAAGTAGTACGAAAACGAACGAAAGAAGAAAACAAATATCGATGTGGATATTGATGATTACAAGACAGAAAAATGAAACCTCCAATCCCTATATAGAAATAGAGTTGCAAGTCAACATGAGCACATCTCGTACCACGTCATTCGTAGAAATTCCTGTCATCTTATACTCACACACATACATACGCATGCAATGCACGTAGTCGATCATGCTCGTAAAATGCGTCGGAATGTACTCGGGGTCTGGATATTCATGTGTACTCCGTACCTAGTATTGTATGCGTATGTATGTATGTATGTATGTATGTGTGTGTGTGTGTGTGTGTGTGTGTGTAAATACCCGTCCCGTCCCATTCCATTCTCAAAGAAGTATAGTCGAAATTCAAAGTAATGAGATGACAGAAAGTAAAATGAAATTCGAGCATGAGAGATATTTTTCTCAGAAGAAAAGGTACGGTAGTCAAGGATGGTCATGTAATTAATAGGCTGATTACATAACCTTGACAAGTGTGAACCATTACATATGGAAAATACTTACTCTGTACGAGAGTTGCCATTCAAGAGGGAAGTTTCATGTCACAATCTCGCTGATGTTTCAACGGGATAGCTATTCCATACCATCTTAATTAAACTTGATACGAGCCGCTGAAAATTAGAGTTTCGATAAGGTACCTTACAGCTAATTAAATAAACTTTTTCAACCGTTGGGCAAAAAGGATAAAGTTCGGATGGCAATACCTGGGCCATGTTAATTTCCTACATTAACGATATAATTAAGTTATTAATCATTATCATTATCATTATCAATGTAAAATATCATCCCCCCCCCCATTCCATGACAGCACATGATAATAATCATTAAAGACTTCTTCAATTCCCCAATGTCACAATACAACACTTCCTCTAATATCTTTCAAAAGTATTCGGTCCTTTCCAGCACGGTTCATCATCAATCCGCATACAGGTGAAGTTCAAGCCATGAAATCCGAGCTGACTCGTCCATGATCTATCCCCTCCAAAGTCCATCTCACACCCCGCAACGCCCAAAGGAAAAAGAGACGGGATGCACCACACAATGGCGGGGTAATTGGCAAAAAACAAATATCAGATGTCAGAATGTCACATTGTAGACTTCTACCGGTATAGTTTCTACTTTCTGTCAAAAAGATCAATCTGCATTTGTGTTCTTGGACAAACCATTTGCATTGATTTCAGTTGATCATTTATCGATTTCTTCTCTGCGCTCAATTCTCAGTACTCAATCCTCATCTCAAAATCAATTCAATCAACCAAACATCATTCTCAAACCAATTCTTTTCCTCGTCCTGTCTCCCGGCTTCCCTCTGCCTTCCCCCACCAACAGCCCCCCCCCCCCCCCCCCCCCCCAAAGAATCACTGAATGCCGAGGACATGTATCTTCCACACCTTCCAAAAGAAGACGTTTACGCCGCATCTTCAACCCATCCGATCCAGATCTTCAGTAACCGATGGAAGAACAAATGACTTGGGTTTCCGAAACGGATCGAATAAACTTTGTCGATCTCCCATGACTTTGTCACTGACATCTACAGAATGCGCACGATGGTACCTGATCATCCTGATATTAAACCACGTGTTTGAAAATGTTTCAGAAAAGTCATTCCGTTTATGGGCTGCAATGGGCACTTGGTTACATCGTGCATTAGATGGAATAAATCTGGAAAAAGGATTTTGGTTTGTTCCTTTTGTTCAGAATTTTTTACACGGCATTGGAATTCATGGTCGGGACAAATCTTTGCGTCTTTTGAGCTTTGAACATGTGAAGCAACAAAGCTGTTGGTCCCTCCTGGTAAAAGTACTGCTCACGCTCACTCTCATAGTAAGATATGAGGCAAAATGTTCAGACAGGTCAAAAAAATTCGTGCGAAACATCGGCATAAATAACAGTGAAATACAACCAAAAAGATTTCAATACCACAAATACAAATACTGAATACTGAAAGAAGAGATCGATATAATTCCACATCTCATGAACTCTCAATCGAAGCCCGGGAAGGATGGAGATTGTTGGAAAGATAGTCTGTCATCTAAACGGGATTGATGCGCGTCGAGAAAACATATTCTTCATCATATCCTCCCCTCTCCACTGGTAGAACATCTATTCCTTGTATAGACGTTAGAGTTTCGATCATCATCTGACTATTCTCACAGCAATATTTTCCATCCATGCCACTTGGCAATTGTACGATATGATAATACAGAGACAATATCATACCTGTATCTGTACTCTCCACCATTCCATACATATATACAGAAATGGAGTTACCTACCCACCCACCTACTTCACTAGATGAAAATGAATGGATACTTCCTAAAGCATGCTTTGCTTACCACATACCTAGGTATCTATCTCATCTTGTATCGCACACTCCACATTATACATCTTCCACCCTGGTATCCCTCGGCCTCTCATCCATACAAATATACAAAGCACAACCTCCCGCGGGAAGAGATCGCATACTCCCTTCAAACGTCGTCAACCTCACCGTCCACCTCTGCTCTTCTTTCATCTCTTCTCTTATCTTCATTTCCCTCTTAAAGCAGCTCACCCGCAAAAGAAACCAACTAAGCCTCATTACACGCCTCATCATTCACCTCCCTCCCCTCTCCATGCAGCCAGGCAGCCAGCATCACTTCATTTCCTCCTCGAAAGAATTTGCACTTTCCTGACAAATCCCTCATTCCCACACAACAATCACTCTTACCATTCCCGACTCCATCACACATCCCTCATTCACCAGCTCCCTCCCTCATTCCACACAGCGCCATACCTGCTACACTACCATCCACACCCTTCTATATCTTTGTTGCACATCGCACCATTCACTTTCCTCCCAGCTACCCGAAATGGAATAAACAAACGTAATGTGTTGCATATCTCCTCGTGCACCCAGTAAATCTCCTCCACCCTCTTCAAACGCCTGTAGATACAAATACATCACATCAACCTTCCTCTCCCGCACAACTTCACAAGGGTATAATATCGATACTACAACCACAGAGTGTAATTCGCTGTGTCACTTATATCTAGTTCTGTCCATGTAACTCCATACCAAAGATACAGATATCCACATACACAATCATCGCACCTCTCACCATCCACTAGATTCGCATTTCTTGCCCGATACTGATCTCTCATTTCCCATCTCTCATACCATACCATGCACATCATCTCGATACAACCTTCATTGCCCCTCCCACCACAATCCCACTTCATCATAGCAACAATTGTTTGTATGAAGTATGAAAGAAAACCTCTCACTGCACGTCGAAACCAGACGCAAAACCAAACAATCTCAGACTGTTCATCTCCAACATTCCTCACACTTGCGCAAAATGTTGAAGGAGAGAATGTATATCGACAAGTTACAAAAAGGGGGAGTAGGTCGTCATACCCGGGATTTCTAGAGATGGGAGACAGATAAATATAAGTATTGGCTTGGATTAAATGGTGGAGCGGGGGCTTAGTGTGTGTCTTTGCTTTCTCCATCTCGGGTGCTTTAGCTGAGAACATTACTCGCTATGAGGATATTTCTCCTGCAATTAAAACTGACGTGATAGCAAAGTAACGCACTGAAAGAACCACAGCACTTAATAAGCCAGAGATAAAATTAATACATCAAAGCTCATCAAACCCCAACCTCACAATCCAGAAATCCATTACCAAAACCCTAAAACACCCAACAAGCTAATCCATGAGACACCTCTAATCCAGCATCCCAACCCCCCAGCCCATTGACGAATCAAAACACAGCAGCTTTTCGTATTCCGGCAGGCGCCCATTTCATCCGAAAGCTTGGGATGCCCAGTGCAAACGTGCAAGGATGATCCAAGCATGAATGTTTTAGGTATTGAGAGGTTCGTGGGAGAGGTGAAACAACCGAGATGGTGAACCCCTGGTTCCTGTATCAACGTTGAGATTGTTCATGGGTTGCTTGGATGGATGGGAATGAGGCTGGTGGATGGTGCTAGGTTTGTGAAGATTTGATGTAGATGTTCGAACTGTCGGCGTTGGATATACGATATGCATGGATGTGGTATTGCAGAAATCAACGCATTGCAGCTTTTTCAGGGCTTTGATTTGTAAGCGCTGCTCTGGAGAGATGATGTGACGGTCGAAGTAGACTTTATCGAACATATGAGCACATGTACTAATCTCATAGTATTTGTGTACCGATATCTTTTGAATATAGTGCTGAATCCTGATATGTTTGTGATTCAGTTCGTGCAATAATCGATCTCATTCTTTGGGAATCGTGCCCTCAAATTATTCACTTGGTGAAATAGAGTTGATGATTCTAAAAAGGTGTATGGCGCACACAGGATGAAGAGTAAATAAAACCAAAAGTTGAACACTGCATTAACATTTATGACACGAACCACATTGGTTGCTGCTCCTTCCTGAATTGCAAAGCACTTGGTTTGAAATCCAGACTTCCCCTGAATGGATGTTTCCAGATCGATGATCTATCAAAAAGTAACGCAAACACTTGAATGCTGAACTAACTGGGTTGGAAATAAGAAATTAAGGATGATGAACATAAGAAGTATCAGAATCCCAATCCCTCACCACCATCCGTAAAGTACGGCGTCTCCGAAACCATTGATATTTATGTTGCAAAAGAATCAAAACCAATATTACATAGGTGATACTATCACCATGCAGATATCCTTAGGAAGATATGTATGCTCACCATCGACTGGTAGAAAAGGAATTCAAAAATGTCGGAGGAATCGGATTGTGATAAGACTACTACACAACCACCACTGACTCGTAAGCTTGTATTTATCACACCAATACTCTATACTTCGAATCTGCATCTTTTATTGGACAATTGTATGTAAAATCATCGGAATCGATGCTGTAAAGATGATGCCCAGGTAATTCATGTAATCGTTTGGGTTGAAATACAGTATGGTGACGTGATGGATGGTTGTGATATTCATTCGATGTGTTTCGGCCAAGTGACAGAACAGGCGCTTTCCATATTCTTGGTTTGATGGTTTTATTGGTTTTATTGGTGACCGGAATCATCACTGATCAGAATAGAATGACGAAACTCTCAATCATTCGTTTTGGAAGCCAATAACTCTTGAAGTCAATAACTCTTAGCAGACAAAGTCTAAGTCAAGATCAAAATCAAAATCAAAATCTCACTGTCAGATCCAATCTTGAGGTAT